TTTTATCAAAATAAACATTTTTTTTGGTGTGGTGAGTTTTTTTGTTTACAAAAATGTGTTTGTGCACGTGGAAAAGACGCAAAAAATCGTTTTCAATATTTACATTTTCAATATGTGTTTATGCACGTGGAAAAGATTCAAAAAAATTGATTTTTATGATTTACTTTAAAAAAATTATTTTTGATCAATTAAAATATGTACATAAATGTGGAAAGGAACAAATCTGATAAAATATAAATATATTTGGGATTATATCGTTACAGAATGCCTTTTAATAAAAAACAATCAAAAAATTTTACTATGGTCATATATAGAAAATGATATATAAATGCTATCGGACGATCTTGTGCATGAAAAAGTTGGAAGTGTAGAAATCGGATGGCATAAATTTTTTTCCGGATTTCATCGTTCTAGGGTGTGTACTACAACAACAAACTTTTTTTTTACAAAAAATGTTATTATGGAAGTATATATAAAATGATATGTAACTGCTATCGGACGATCTTGTGCACGATATAAACCTGTATAGAACTTTAAGTTGGAAGTGTAGAAATCGGATGACATACTTTTTTTTGTAGATTTCATCGTTCTAGGTTGTGTACTACAACAATTTTTTTTTTTTTTAAATTTTACAATGGCCGTATATATAAAATGATATATAACTGCTATCGGACGATCTTGTGCATGATAAAAACCTATATAGAACTTTAAGTTGGAAGTGTAGATATCGGATGGCATACATTTTTTTCCGGATTTCATCGTTCTAGGGTGTGTACTACAACAACAAACTTAGTAAAATTTTTTTTACTATGGAAGTATATATAAATGTATATATAACTGCTATCGGACGATCTTGTGCACGATAAAAACCTATATAGAACTTTAAGTTGGAAGTGTAGAAATCGGATGGCATACATTTTTTTCCGGATTTCATCGTTCTAGGGTGTGTACTACAACAACAAACTTTTTTTTTAACAAAAAATGTTACTATGGCCGTATATATAAAATGATATATAACTGCTATCGGACAATCTTGTGCACGATAAAAACCTATATAGAACTTTAAGTTGGAAGTGTAGAAATCGGATGGCATACATTTTTTTCCGGATTTCATCGTTCTAGGGTGTGTACTACAACAACAAACTTTTTTTTACAAAAAATGTTACTATGGTCGTATATATAAAATGATATATAACTGCTATCGGACGATCTTGTGCACGATAAAAACCTATATAGAACTTTAAGTTGGAAGTGTAGAAATCGGACGGCATACATTTTTTTCCGGATTTCATCGTTCTAGGGTGTGTACTACAACAACAAACTTTTTTTTTACAAGAAATGTTACTATGGCCGTATATATAAAATGATATATAACTGCTATCGGACGATCTTGTGCACGATAAAAACCTATATAGAACTTTAAGTTGGAAGTGTAGAAATCGGATGGCATACATTTTTTTCCGGATTTCATCGTTCTAGGGTGAGTACTACAACAACAAACTTTTTTTTACAAAAAATGTTGCTATGGTCGTATATATAAAATGATATATAACTGCTATCGGACGATCTTGTGCACGATAAAAACCTATATAGAACTTTAAGTTGGAAGTGTAGAAATCGGATGGCATACATTTTTTTCCGGATTTCATCGTTCTAGGGTGTGTACTACAACAACAAACTTTTTTTTACAAAAAATGTTACTATGGTCGTATATATAAAATGATATATGTATAACTGCTATCGGACGATCTTGTGCACGATAAAAACCTATATAGAACTTTAAGTTGAAAGTGTAAAAATCGGATGGCATACATTTTTTTCCGTATTTCATCGTTCTAGGGTGTGAGTACAGCAACAAACTTTTTTTTACAAAAAATATGACTATAGCCATATATAGAAAATTATATATAACTGCTATCGGACGATCTTGTGCACGATAAAAACATATATAGAACTTTAAGTTGGAAGTGTAGAAATCGGATGGCATAATCTGTTAGCGATTTTAGCTAGGGTCAACTGTGGACCGACCCTTACAAAATTCAACAGATAAATTTTGTTTCATATAAAAGTTGTCATGTCGAATTTTATAGATATACATTTTTAAGCTAGTTATGAGCGGTATTAATTTCCCGAGGTGGACCTTATATCGGGGATAGGTTCAATTATGGACCGATCCCCTTAAATTTGACAAAACGGTTTTGACTTATTTTTTATGTGGAATTTCTTTACTATATTGGTATTTCTATTACAATTATTGTAGTTAATATCTTTTTCTGAAGGGGAACTTATATGGGGGTAGGGTCAATTTTGGACCAACCCAGAAATGTTTTGGATCTTATAAATCTTGTAAAATAATTTCCTGAGAGGAACCTTATATGAGAGCAGTGTCAAATATGAAGCGATCCTCATAAAATTTGGCAAAAAAGATTTTAGTTCCTATAAAACTTGTTTTTGTCGTTTTTCCTCGCTATACTGGAATATTGAAGCTCAATAATAAACTCCGTCAACTAAATATATTTTGGCTAAGATCCCAGTATATACTTTTATGGATTTTAGACCAATATTTCGATGTGTTACAAACGATGACTCCCTGATGAGTTTATCGTATATCCAATATTGTCCATTTTCAATAAAAAACTCCATCAACTAAAATTATTTTGGCAAATATTGGCTAGATGGTCTTAGACTGTAATAAGATCCCAGCATATACTTTTATGGACATTAGACCAATATTTCGATGTGTTACAAACGGTGTAAAACGTTCCTTGACTCCCTGATGGGTTGTGTCTCACAAGTGGTGATTTAGCGATCTTGAAAGTGACGGAACTAATAGGGAATCACATTGTTCGCCGGTCTCTTGTAAGATTTTAGGTTGATAGTCATGCAGTACTTAAAGCATTAATATGTATGTCATAGCTGTATTCTTGCATAGTCGTAGAATGAAGAAAAGATCTAAGTGTTATTATGAGACTGTTTACAATAAGGATGTGTTAGGTACCAGGACTCTGCAATATACACAAATGAGGTATCTGGCGAACTGATACGATGAGGCTCGAATCTTGCCCCATATAAACGGAACAAGAAGTTAAAGCCACCCCTTTTTCATTTTTTAGGTTGATCTCCGATGGATTCCGTGACTCTATCAACCAGTCATGGAATATAGAATTGCACATTATATAAGGCCGTCTTAAAAATATTTGATTCTAAAGAAACCGGGATTATTATTGGGGTAGATGATGTACACCAAGAACACTTGCACTGGCTATAAAACATTATTAAAATACATAAATTTTTCTTAGCACAAAATAAATATGTCTAGTAATTTGTTTTTGTTTCATTTGTTTACGTTTTTACAGAAACTCATCACACAACAATCAAAAACAGCTGTTAGGGTTTGCTGTTTTATCAAAAGGTTGTTTTATTAACGGGTATGATTTTTCGACTTTTTTCATTTAATTAAAAGTCGACTTTTAGACTTTTCGACTATAAGTACTTTATAAATAGTCGACTTTTCAACTTTTTCCGACTTTTTTCGACTTTTTCCGACTTTTCGATTTTTTCGACATTTTGACTACTTTCGACTTCTTTCGACTTTTTTCGACTTTTTACGACTTTTCGACTTTTTTCAACTTTCTTCTACTTTTTTTGACTTTTTTCGACTTATCGACTTTTTTCGACTTTCAGACTTTTCGACTTTCAGACTTTTCGACTTTTATTAACCAAGTTGACTTTTTCAACTTTTTTCGACAAAAAGTCGATTTTTCGAAAGTCGATTTATAGAACCCTACTAGATTTGATTTAAAACATGTCGAAAATGTATTTTTTCGAACAAGATTTGCTTATGCAACACTGCGATGTTTGAATGTTTTCATCGAAAAAGTGAATTAATTTGGAAGTGAAAATAATAACAAATTATAATTTAAAAATTAGTGGCATTTAATAAATAAATTTATTCGTTTACAACTGTAATTTTTTATTTTTAATATGTAATTTTACATAAAATTAACTTTATTGTGGATTTGAAAAAATAAAGTGACAGAATTTGTTTGAAAATTCGAATATCAGAAACTAGTAAGCTCAGTGGAAACACCTTGAAGAGGTTTACGCAAATCTAGCAGATTTCAAGCCAGTGGAAACATACCATTAATTTCAGGCACTCATATGTAAAACAAAAATATATGAAAAATGTTGTTGCAGAACTGCCACCACCTTATGTGAATTTGCCTAGAATATAAATCATACGGTTTTTACTCTATTTTTTGTTTTAAATATGGATGGAATTTAATTTGATTTTTCATACGTAAAGCGTGGAGGTGTAAAGCCTACCTTACCAATCATGGCGAAACTAATAAGGTGAAGTCATTTCAACAGCTGATTGTTTTTTTGTCCATGGAAATTTACCCCGTGTCTATATTAGACAAATATTTATTATGCTAAACGTCAAATTGTTATCATGATAAAAAATTAGCAGATGACAGTGTTGTCCAAACAATTGTTTAGACAACGTTGTCTAAATACAATAAAATGACAAACTTCATTTTATTGTAAAATTTGTTTAGAATTTTGTTTTTTTTGCAATTAAAATTGATTTTTAACATAAGTTTTAGTGAAATTAATGTTTATTTACAAAATTTGCGTTTAATTTTAATTGTTTTTATAAAATATAGCATTATTTCAATAAAATTATTTGTGAGTTGTCGGGATAAAATCAGCATTTTGTTACCCCTATGCATTAACATAAACAAAAAACTGACAATATTTCTGCCGACGTTTTGTCAATTATCGTGATAAAAATTTGTCTAATATAGACACGGGCTTAGCCCGAAGTTGTTAAACTCCACATAAAGAAAATTCTCTCTCAAACACGACGCTGTCAAACTACATATACAAAAAATTTCATAAATTCGCCGCAAAATTAAATGCCTTCACCTTATAGTCTATTCGCGTTGTTACCAATCAAACGCATATGAGTTACCCTGTATTTTAGCAACTGTCAGTAGCTTCTTAATAAATAATTTAAAAACATTGATATTTCCTATATTTTTATTTGGATGACTTATGAAATAAAGCTAAAAAAGTAAACAAACAAATAAATTATTTCGTTTTAAACCTTTTCTTTTTATTAAGTGCTATGATAAATGAACTAATAACATGGGTGTTAAACACCTATTTGGGCAAATATCTTGAAGATTTTAATCCAGCTCAGTTATCTATTGCTCTTATGTCAGGTAAATATATTTTATTTTGCAATCTTTTAGATAATATACTACATTCGAGTGCTATAAGAAAATTTCTGTTCTAATAACATATAATTACGTGTTGGTCATTGGTGTACTAAAATCCAAAAAAGTACGTTTAATAAAGTTCAAAAAGTTTATTGAACATAAAGCATTTCTGGTATCAACCTAGATCAATTAACCACCTTGCATTTTAATAATGTCTTCAAGTGTTGATAGATCTTTTAAAGCGTAAAAAATTGTGAGTGTTCTCTTTTTTAGTTTCAGAGTTAGGAGGCTTCAAAGTTTTAGTTTTTACAGATAAAACAGTAATCAGAAAAATGTTGATATGCAGAAATGGCATTTTTAGCGAAGCCGGTGTTTTATACACCCGAGAGCAGAAGGTCGCTGAGCCCAACTGAGGGACTGCTGTACAGAAAATGTGATTATAAACACTAAGTGTTAAACCAAAAATGTTAGGTGAAAAATAAGCCAATTTTAAGGTTTGATGGGCCAAAAGCTTAAAGTTAGTACTCGTTTGATTTCAAAGACATAGTATGAGGTTTAAACTTGAGAGTACAAAAGGTTTACTCCATTTTTTGCTATTAAAATTTTTGTCTTAAAAAAGTGATTTTTTGGTCCTATTTCTAACAAAAATTGTGTGTATTTTTTCTTCCTGTGGTAATTTTTTAATGTTAACAAATTGAATTGCAGTGAAACATTCAAATTTCAAGTATTGAAATACAATTGTACACTTTAATTTAATAACATCCTCCAGTGGAAAGGAAAAGTTGAGCATTACATTACAATAGATTAATTCAAGGGTTGAAGTGTAATTGGAGTCTATTCAAGATCTTATATACAGTGTATTTGGCTTTAATCCAATTTGTCTAAAATTTTATATGAAAAAAAAAAAAAAAACAAGGCAAAGTTTTCTATGATGCTTAGATATCTTTTTGTTTAAAACCAAATACTACCTCGTAGAATGTTTGCAAGTTTTTATGTCAAATATATATTTTACATTTTATATAAAATGTACGTAGCGCATCTCGTAGACAATATCAATATTTTAAGTAATGTGCAATACGAATAAGCATTATTTGGTACAAACAATATTTATATACCTTTAACAGCTTAGTCATAAGAATCTTCCAACAAAGATGTTTAAAATTGACATTAGGTTTAGGTTAAGGTAAGGTTTGGTTTAGCCACACAAAACCGTCTTATTTCGGTCCCGTTGTGATACCCTATTGGAAGTATGATATTCCAGATACAAGATCCAAAATAGACTAATCTGTTCCCAGTAAATGTCGGACAATAACATAGGAGATGAGATAGTCTCCTCCACTTCATTGTGACAATTACTGCAGTAGTTATTATACTGGAGACCCATTCTTCTGTCATGATTGCCAACAGCAATGTTCCGTTATTACCGATAGCAGTGTTCTTATTTGCTCCCTGCCAAAGTTTAACAATAAGCTAAACTTAGAGGTATCATATATAGGCCAGGTTGACCTCGAAGTTAGGTGGTTTCACTAAATAATCTGATCTGAGCCATTTCATATACATAGTTCGTTTTGAAGAAGGGTCTTACAGTTTGTAAGGGACATACTAATGAAGGCGTAGATTTCATTTTCATCCCACTTTAAATAAAATTCAATCGTTTTGTTTTACAATTAATTTTCGAATGAATCCATATTTTTATTTTTTTAAACATAATCTAGAAGCCTTGACTTAAAAAATTAAAAATTTTCTTTCTATTTTTCTATTTGTTAAAAAATGTTTGAAATTTTCTTTGGAAAATTTTTTATTTCTTAATGATTTTTAGATTGAAAACAATGAAATATGCGCGTAACTTGCATGATTGTCTGAAGAATGGATGTTTGGCTATATTTGCTGATGTTTTTTTATTTCATGTTTTGTTTTCCAATATTTTTATTTATTTTTCATAAAAATTCGCTAATATATGATTCTTTTCCAAAAAAATGGAACGGATTAATAGTGGATATTTATTGTAATTTTTTTATGAAAATCAAAGAAAATAACTAAAAAAAAAAAAACAAAAAAATTCATTTATGTACAAATTCATACATTTTATGTACTTTTAATATTCCGAATGAAAATGGGTTGGGAAAAAAAAGTCATGTTCGATTCATACAATTTATTACAAAATTCATTCTAGTTATGTATTATTTTTTTCTGTGTACCTAAAATGTCTTTTTGATTATTTTCAAAATTATTTAAGCAAAGTGCTTACAACTCGGCTCCGCACCTTTACTCACGTCCCCGTGAAGCATCTGTAATTAAATGTTATTAGTAAGGTTATAATTAAATAATTTTGTATTATTCTCTTTAAGTTGAGTTACAACTTAATGTATTGCATGATTTAAGTTTATCAGATGATGTTATTCCTTCATAGGGTTTTCGCGATCTATTTTATCCTGGCATACCCCTTATAACATATCTATCATTACATAAATATTTTACAATTTGATATGGACCATTATATCGTGGAAGAACTTTCCGATTTCCCTCAATTGAATTAGTTTTTCTTACTTACACTAATTGCCCAATCTTATATATTTGACCTGCTTTTATCATATGAGTACTTCTGATATTTTTGCATCTTATCTATAGATGACTTTGCCTCGTTTCTACTACAAGAAACATCATTTGTATTAATTTCATGTACTTCATTACCTAAATAAGAATCATATTTTCCTCTTGGTAAGAATCCAAATAGAAGTACACTTGGAATTTTTCCAGTGGACTTATTAGCAGTAGAATTTAAACCCCACTGAATATCATTAACATATGCATCCCACTTGTTCTCATTATCAACAGATTAACTTAAAGCCGACAAAATTGTTCTGTTATATCTCTCTGCTTGTCCATTAGCGTGGAGTTGCAGTAGCATTGTGAATAATTTTAATCCATGATCTTCCGCAAATTTCTGAAATTTATGAGAAGTAAATTTACTTGCTCTATCACAAACTACCCTACAAACAAGAAGATACGAATATGATACGAATTCGTATTGCTTAGAAGTAAAATTTTATTGCGGCAACAATCATATTCATATTGCGAAAGATACTCCCTTCGGGAGAATTTGTGCGTCAGAGGCGCAACTTCTATGCAATACGAAAGCAATTCTTCTAGAAGTTAAAAACGTGAAATTGTTAGATAACCACCTAGGAGAAAATTTTAAGATACCTTCTGATAATCTTCTGGATGATAAATATAACATATCGATAGATTATCTTGATTGAGAAATATTAAAATTTCCTTAAATTTACAATTTTAAAATGCGTTTTATTATAAATGAATTGAAAAATTACAATAACAATTTTTAATGCTGCAATATTCTTCCGCCGAAAAATGTTGTGGTTTCCAAAAGAATGTTGGCTTTTCCACAGGAAATGTTTTCGTTATCTTGAATAAAGACTGGAAAACATGGTAGAATAATTGTTAATTATTGGAGGATACATAATACGCAAACAAATACTTTATTAAAGAAAAATGTCCACTTTTATCCTTATTTTTAGCGTATGTTAACGATTTAAAATTTTTTCCAATATATTAATATTTTTATAAAATATTTTGAAGTTTGAAAAAATTTAATATTGCTTTAAGATCTTCACCATGATATTATAAAGATATCATGAACTTATTGCTTAGAAGGAAAAAGCCCTTGAGAGAAAATATAACAGTTTGGCGACAAACAATATTTTACAAAAAAAAAAAAAAAATATATTTTCTGGTTTATCACCGAAATTTTGTTTTAATGATAGTTAGTTAGTTTGAAAGGAGGATGTATATACATCAAATCCGAAGAAATACACCTAGGCCTCTATCGGGCCTGTTGTGCGCTCCTTAACCAGTGCCTCAGGTGGGAATCGAACCCACCACCTCCGGTCTACCAGACTAGAACACTAACCACTAACCTACCACTTTTCGATATAAAAAATATTGCTTTGATGATTTTCTTCCAAATGAAAAAATGCAGATATTGCTTTTATGTCTTCTATGGAAGATATATTCCTAATGTTTGTAGGGTAATCTTCTAGGTACTCCAAAAATTCTAATGAATTCTTCCAAAAATTTTATAAAAGGTTCTACCTTCGTACAATGTACAGCTTTTAATAAAACATATTTTGTAAAACCATCAACTGAAACTATTAAATATATCGATACCCTATATTCAAAAAGTAACAAATCAATAAAGTAAACTTTTCAGGAGAGCAAAAAAACTGTTTAGTTTGTCAATTATTGGGAAAATTAACAATGTATCTTCTATAATATTTTTTAAATAATCTTGTTAATTAGTGTATGTAAAAATTTTATTTATTTTGCAGGTTTACGCGAATATTTTTAAGATAGCACTTTTTAGTCGACCAAAAAACAAATATTTATTTAAAGTTAGCATATTTTGTTCAAATAAAATAGTAAAATTTGTTTGTAAAATTTTATTAATTTATAATTGCGTAATAGTTGTTTAATAAAAAATGAATAAATACATACATACATAGGTAAATATTAAAGAAAATATTTATATTATAAATTGACATTATTATCATGAGTTAATTGGATTTTGTGTAGAGCAAGTTATCATAAAAGTAATGATACTCCTGTGGAATAACTTTTTTAAGTTCTTGGAGGTGTTTCCATTTATTTAATTGTATAGGAAGTTGTTTCGAGTGCAACGGTTTTGGTTCTAGTTTTCCTTCGTATTTTTTGATTCGGCAAGGCAAATCTGTATACTGATCGTCAAAATTGGTTTTATATTTTACGCAGCCATTGGGAAGGTATAAAATAGAACGTAGTTGTGAGACAGTTGGATCATTCTTTCCTTTTCCAGGTCTTATTGAAGAAAAACGAATTAGTTCTTGGTCATTGTAATTTTTAAAAAAATCGTAATTCAAATATATAGCATCAAATGGCATTTTCTTTATTTTGTTATCAATTTTTACGGTTTTTCGGGCTTCCTTCGTGTAAGTGACGTATTCAATGGG